AAACAACAAAATCCGAAGCATGGGCATGATCGATAAAGGGTAGTTTGCACATGTCCAGAGGAAGAATCCAGCGAAGAGATTTGGGCCCGTGGTTCGGATTAAATATAGGAAATGGTAGAGGGTGGGTAACACCGTGACCTGCCACACGTCCCGGGTTGGCAAGTCTCGTCCTCAGTCGAGTACTTACTAAGACATTTTGTTTGCGACTAAAACACCTGGTTATCATTCAGATAGGTTTTCTCGTTAATCCCAAGTCCACTGTGAAGTACTGGTGGTATGGAATAGGATTAAACTGTGGAGAAGTATCTACGACTCGAAGACCTGGGAAATATTTCATCCTTTTCAGCAGTAAGAGGTTCCAAAGCCATGGCGGGCATGAGAACTACACACCGGTTTGACACACGTTTACCAGTTGTTCATGACCCCGACTTCTATGTATACATACGCTTCGTTTTCATTAGGACCAGTTAATCACCTCCACCAACTCTTTCAGATCTTCCGTTCCCGTCTCCAATAGCCACCTCACTTCCCCCGATCCAGCAGATGTTCCAACGGACACCGAGGTGACTCCTTCCACTCCCTCGTTCCCGGCTTCGTCTGCTTTCTACATCTGAAGCACTGTTGTCCATGGCGTATAAATAGCTGATGTAAGCGATACTTGAGGTGATCCGGTACCTTAACATCGCAGTGTCTGAAGCAGTCCTCCGGATTTGCCTTCTCCGGCACCCAGCCAAGCCAGCGGCAGAACCGGTGGACATGCGTGTCAACCCCGAAGCATGGCTTGCGCAGACAAAACAGGGTAACGCAGGCGGCAGACTTGATGCCAATACCGGGGTACCGCACAAGCTTGGTCATGGCCTCGTCTTTGGTGAGGGTGTGCATGTGGTCGAGGTTCAGAGTTTCTGGGAAGGCGACTTCTTGTTCGCCGCCGCCGTTATTGACGCTCTTCTCTCTTGCCATCTGCGCCATCTCCAGTGCGACCATGTCGAGGATCAGCTTGATGTTCTTGGCTTTCTGGTTTCCGTTGCCCGAAACCTTGATGGCCTGGGCCAGCTTTTCCTGTGGTTCGGTGGCGACCTTTTCCCAGTTGATGCTTCCGGCGCCTGAGCCGTGTTCTCGTATACCGTATTCCTGAGCCACGTTCCGGATCGCTTGGTCCGCCATGGCCATTAGGGTGTTGCCGCTAATCAAAGTCCGAAGGAGGGCGTCCAGGACGCAAGGTACCTCGCCACAACCGGCCTTCTCCAAAGAAGCTTTGGGCGTCTTCTTGGGTTGCTCGACCTTTCCATGCAGGACTGACAGAATACGGTGAACCTTTTCGCATGCTTTGGCGGTGGGGACATGGCGGTTGGGATAGGGTGAGAACCCTGGCGTGAGCCCCATGGGATTGTCTAGCCCCCTTTTCACAGGCATTCTGTAATCTGGACTGTCACGGTCAACGGTGGGTGTTTTTGCGGCAGTGATCTTCATGTTGTTTGTCTTCTTGGTTGTCTTGACAATGAGCTGTCCATTTCCGCTTTGGGGGTTTTCGTCGGTCTTAACATCTGGCTTCTTAGAAGACGTCCTGGTGACCCGTCGAGCCCGTGTAGTGCGGCCCTCGTCTCTATCGTTATCGGAGGCAATTACCTCAAAGGCATTCTCCGAAGCGGCATCCGTTATGGTCTCAACGACCTCCGTTGTATCTGTATTCTCCGTCTGAGGCATGTCGGTTCTAAATCCAACATAAATAGTGGACTCGCACTTGACCACACTCCGGGTACGGTGTACTGACGTATTAACAGGCGTGGTCACTTGTAAGGGTCCTGTACCAATCGGTGCCTTCTGGATCTTCACATCCTCAATCCGAGACTTCGTAATCTCGAACAGAGTTTGACTCTGGCGTTTGGTCACACTTCGCGTACGGTACATCGGCGCATCGGAAGAACCGGTCAACGAATCCGGCGACTCTGGAGTTGTTTTAGGAGTTGGCAAAGCACCAATGCCATGGAGTAAGGCATCTCGACCACCTAAGGCGTCAATCGTTAGCAGGCTGAAATCGAGAGCAAAGAAGTAGCCGAACCTTTGAGGGGCTGCGTCGATGCGGCATGCCCGCGTTTCCTTTTCACTCTCGTCCCAGATTCAACCTCAATTGAAGCTACAATTGTCTTCAGCACAGGATTTGGAGTAATCGCCGGATTCTGGAGCGGGCTCGTAACCGCGATGCATTCATCGGTGTCTACCTTGAGCCTCTTAACAGCTGAACGGGTTTGAATTGCCATTGCAGCGATGGGGGGCGAGGTTGCTTTGTGAGCAGCGGTCCAGTTGTCAACTAGAGAATGAAGAATGACCGCGTGTCCCTGGAACAAGAGGGCTGTCTTGAAAAGAGAAACGAACAATGAGCGTGGGAGGGCAAAGAGCTAAATGCTTGGGGGATGCACCTTAAGTAGCGGACAGCTCTCCCCAAGTGGCAAAAAGAATGGTTCCTCGATGAATGTGCATGAACAAATGTCTTATGAGCGGGCATAGGGAAGGCGCTGTGACATCAAGAGTTCATCTCTAATTTCGTGTTTATTCATGACTGAATGATTGCTAACTAATGACTCGACAGTGCTTCTTCCTGCAACCGTCTAGGACTGCTTCTCTAATGTGTTCTACGCTTAACAAACTAATACCATGCGATGTTAGCAGAAATCCAGCAATGCAAGTTCTGATAGATCGAGGTATGAGGATTCAAAGATTCAGATAACATTTTTCTCCGCAGCAGAATGCTAGGCAGTCAAGGTTTTGATAATTGTCAAAACATCATGGAAAGGAGGGGGGTGATGGTGAAAAAGAATATTGGTAGCTTACCCTATGCATGCCCAGATTGTAGAAAGTCTGGCCTCAGCTGCGTGTTTTCTGCCAGCGCGATAAACGTCGCTGTTCGTATCTCCAGAGTGCAGAATGCATGTTGAATGTGCAGAGAGGAAAAAGAAGAATTGCGACCGCCGACGGGAGTTTGCGAAAATTGACCGTGGGGGTGGGGCACGACAAATTGGTGGGGCCGGGAACGGGATGTTCCGAGACGAACTTACGACAGGTTAGAATCTGCTATAACCCTAACCCGTACTAACATGTCCGTGAAACACCATGACATCGGGTTCTTGCCAGTCTCAACTCCAAGCCCGTGAAGGTCGATCCCAGAGCATGCGGCTCTATCCATTTTCGACGATGATTCGGAACCATGCTCAAAACCGTGCAGAAGGAACTCCCAGTTACGAAGCCATGGGTTGACAGCATGACGGAAAGGAAAAGGACAAAGCGAAAGCACCGATGATTCACCTCTAGTCCACCCAATAGATGGAACGACGGAGTCCCATGCTTCACTACTTGTACAGATGTCCTTTAAGTCGCGATATCACGACTTTCGACTCAGATATAATTAAGATGGCTCATGGAAATTCCGATCCGAGATGCGGCCGCGAAGGCATCATGCTCTCTGGTATCACACCCCGATTGTTGCCTCCATTGTCGCTATCAGAGAATGAAACAAGAATGAATTCATCCCATTAACTTTAGTATTGTGCAGGAGGCAAACATCTTCGATATTCAGATAACCTTGGTTTTCATCTGCAACACTGAGTTTCTCATTCGTCAGCATCTCCGTATCGCATCACTCCTTCAGCACGAAAGCCTTCCATCCGATGTGGTCTGTTTGCAAGCTGCCTAGTCGTGAAACTCACCGGCTCAGATTACGATTGCCCTGGCAACGGAAAAGGGCATCCCCCTATTGATCATCCCACGTCTGAGAGGTCTTGTGCCTGCCTTATGGACCCTCGTTTTCATCCTGGATCTTTTGCGTAATGGATCACCCATCCGAGCCTCTATAAAATCTCGCCTGCCTTCAGACTGTTTCTGGATTACCTTCTCCCAAAACATACTCCCCGAGCCAGTCAAACTCCTTCATCAAAGTGTTTACCTGTACCTGCGACTCATTCCTTCTTGTATTTTCCTCCACATCATTGCAGATATTAGGGAGACCAGCTGTCCTCATACTCCTCTCCCGCAATCACTGTTGTGTCAGGTTCCATTCTCCCCCGCCGACATTTTCACACTCAGTTCTTGCTCATTTGTCGTTCTGTTGAACCGCTATCACACAGTGAAACGACGAGAACATTTGTCTTGCTGTCACCAAGGCATCATAATACGCTATTGAGACAGCCCGCGTGTTCCGGCGTCGTTTCGACACTGGAGTGGTTTGGACTCTCAACTTTGGTGAGTCTGCCCGAAATACATCGTTCTTCGTTTTCGCCTCTCATCCTCACAACGCATTCACTTCAAGCATCACTTCCCGGCCGCTCCCTTGTCAGGATATTATCTAACTTTCTCTCCTGCTTTGTAGTCTTCAAACGTATTATCTCTCACTTTGTTCTCATCCCTCACCTCACAGTTCCAAGCTAGACGACAGCAACGAAATCACGAAGATGCCCGAGATTTGGGAACATGAACCCGACTTGCGGCTCGGAGGAGAGTTAAACCCCTTCGTGGTTGACGACCAAGATGACGTCGTCCAGATACATGACGAGGAAGAGGTGGAGGAGGAGGTCGCCGAGGTTATCGACATTACAGATGATCTCGAGCCTTTTGAGCGCGGCCAAGGTCCCGAATCGAGGCCTGGCGAGAAATCTCTACCCTCTTTCCTGCTACGCGACCAGGGATTCCACGTTCGACCGGGAATCACCGTTGAACTCAGAGAACCGGCACCTATCGGCAAATATACCGTCAATTTCCTTCGCATTACATCCATCGCACGACAACATTACACGGATAACGTGACTATCAGAGGTCACGGATTCACAAGGGCAAAGAATATGAATGGGATGCTGGCAAAACAGCTTAATGAATGCTGTCTCATAGCGTTGGTTGACACCCACGACCCTCGGCCTTGGAAAGAACAGGCAATCATCGATATTAAGCCCGAGAATGTACTGGCAGGAAGGAACTTTCGTATAACGAACGCGCCGTTTCCCCAGTATGCGGATCACTCGGCCGGGATTGCTAGCAAGCGACAGCAAGTCAAGGACATGGGCCTTCTCGTATCCCGCTACAGCTACATCGAGTACCATCAAACCGACGAACGCAAGTCCCGAGAATGGACCTTCCTTAGAGCTGGAGAAGACGAAGCGGATGAAAACTTCCGAGTATCCGCCGAGATACTGGTGAATGGCTGGCGGGATGGAAAGATCCGAGGAGGCTCTCATGTACCTGTTGAACAACCTCAAGGGCTAGGACACGAACGGAGACATGGGCCGATATATACCCACGATCTTGACGACCCAACTTATCCAGCTTCCCCCAAGACACCACTTGGGCCGGCGCATATCTCACACGAGCAAAAGTACACTGCTGGGGATACTTTTGCTGGTGCGGGCGGGGCCTTCTGCGGTATCTCAGATGCCGGTCTCCATCTGGAGTTTTGCGTTGACAACTGGGAACATGCAGTGGCGTCTTTGAAGGCCAATTTCCAAGGAGATGGCACCACGATCTACGACATGGACATGCATGATTTGATCATCAACAAAGACATTCGTCGCCGTGTCGACATACTCCACCTATCGCCGCCCTGTCAAGTATGGTCGCCTGCGCATACAAGGCCTGGCCAGAATGATGAAAAGAACCTCGCCATTCTTTTCTCCTGCACCCATCTTATTGAGAAGATTCGTCCCCGGCTGTTTACGGTCGAGCAAACATTTGGTATCTTACACCAAAGGTTTGAGAATTTCTTTCAAAGCTTCGTCCGTGGTTTTACGGACCACGGCTATTTAGTTAGATGGAAGGCCGTCAATTTCTCGCAATACGGCCTCCCTCAACCTCGCCGGAGGTTAATTATGATCGGTGCTGGCCCGGGAGAGAGGCTACCACCGTTCCCTCCGTCAACCCACAGCCCTGGCATTGGAAGAAGCCAAAGGAACGGAGGACTTAAGCCTTTAACTACCGCACGACAGGCACTCTCGGTGCTCGATGGAAGGAGACGGCACCCCCTCCATCAACCGTATCTTCAACCATTCCAAAACCCCAGAGCCCCTTGGGATGGGGACAAACCCCTACCCTTTACAGTCACTTGCAGAGCTGCCGAGAATTACCACTGGTCTGGCCTGCGCCAGTTTACTCCCAGGGAGTATGCCCTTCTCCAGGGCTTCCCACTACACCACAATTTTGCAGGCAACTACGTGAAGAAGCAGATCGGGAATGCCTTCCCTCCCGTATTCGTCAAGATGCTCTATAAGCACCTTGTCAATTGGCTCGATAGCCAAGACAACGTGGTCCGAGTTCACTATGCACGTGTCGAAGACGGCGCCGTCCCCTTCCGAGCGCCAACGGCCCAGAGGCACATCAACATTGAGCCAAAGGAAGATCAGGAGATCACATTCTTGAGCATTCACAAACGGCAGAGGGCGTTGTATGATTCCGTTGAGTTGATTGATGATGACGACGGCAGGTCCGACTCCGCAACCCTACGTAAGCCCTCTGTGGATTCAGCTCAGGCTCGGGCTCGGGGTTCATCATCATCATCATCATCATCATCATCATCATCATCACCATCATCCCTTTCAACGCCCTTCCCGGCATCAGCAGACTCAAACTCGGCTCGCAACCCGCCTTCTTCCCAACGCCCAGCCTTTTCGCACCACCACCACCATACACCTGGTGGTGACCGGTTTTTCATGTCTTCCCCTAGGCCCCCACACCCATTACCTTCTTCACCCCTGAGCCCAAGTCCTACTCATACATTACCCGCTTCTTCTTCTTCTTCTTCGTCTTCTTCTTCTTCAAAAAGCAACAGCATGCAAGGAGAAAAAAGTGTCTGGCGAAAGCTGTTTTTTATAGTCCCACCACCCAGACCAGAACCATTTAGTTCTCCAAGCTCCACCAGCTCAACAAGTTCCAGTGGCACTACAAGTTCAAGCTCATCATCATCATCCGGCGCTTCGAAGTCTCCCAGGAATACTACTGCTGCGGCTGCGGCCGTAAAGAAGGAGAATCAAAACATACCTCTACATGTAAAGGGCACCAAGGAAGAGCCAATGGAGCTCTCGGATTGAGTCTGAGTCTGAGTCTGAGTCCCATCCACATCACACCTTTTGTTGTCGCCAGAGCAATCAATTGTTCGATATTGAAAGGATCTTGGAACTACGTCATCTTCGAAGAACCAGGCAAAGTTGTTGACATTTGCGGTTTTTTGGTGGTGGAAAGGGACGATTGATTAGTGCTGAATACATTTTGCTTGTAAATAAAAATTCTGGTCGTTCTTGATCACCAGCTACCGGGAGGAATTTGTCAACCGGTTGGCTCATGCTAGCTAGGTTATCCTGCGAAACCGCTTGGTATCACTGACCTTTGGGGTTGATTTTCATGGAGCGAGAACAAGACTGGTGGGAAGTGGGACCATTCCGGTGTTGATTTTAGCTCCATTTGTACCAGACTGTATATGTTTACGACTGCGAAGGACAACTCGCCTTGTGTCAGTCACCATAGGAGCAATGTATGCAAGGTTGAGGGAACGGTACGTTTACAAAGAGATCTTCGGGTACCAGTCAGAGAGTATGAACCAGTCACCATGCGAAAAGGACGAGGAATTACCGAGTTAGAACATGACGAAATGTTTAACAATTCCTTGTATTTGGTTCTTGATCAAAGAGTATTCCATCTGGGCTGTATAGCCCCTACTGTATTCTATCGATCGACATCCATATAACAGATCCCCTGACTCGTGGTTGCTTATGAAAAGAACAAAGCCCCTTCATCGCCAAGTTTCTCGTCTGTTGGCCTTCGTTGCCTGTTTCCAATTCCTCCGCAAATCGAGCTTTAAACGCTTGTAATTCCAACTCCGCTCCCATAACTGCCAAACGCCCAATCCTTTGCAAAATGCTGACAACTCCATGAGGGTATGTTTCATATGAACCGTATCTGAGGCCTGCAAAAAAAGAGAAAGCAGAAGCCGTAGCAAACTACGCGCTACCGTAATGTCCAAGATTCTGAACGCAGAACACCCCACAATCAAAATGTCGATGTGCGGGCACATGACTACTCCTCCTCGCTAACGTCACTCTCTGCTTCCTTCGCAAGCTCCGCCTCCATGGCAGCAATATCGTCGTCATCGATAACATCAGCAGCATTAGCCTGATTGTTGGTCGGGGCCGACTCTTCAACGTTCTCGAACTCCGCCTCCATGTCGGAGCCATCGTCGAAACTGAAGCGCTCAGGAGGAGGCAATGGGTTCTCCTGGTAGCTAGTGGACCTTACCATTGCCGTCGGTTTGTTGATCGGGCTTGGTAAGGCCAAAGCATCCACCATGTCCTCGTCTTCATCCTCCTCATCGTCGTCCTCGTATCCACCGCCTTCTCCATCGGCGTCTTCGTTGAATCGGCAATCGACCTCGGCGTCCATATTGACGTCCTCCTCCTCGTCAGGGTTATAGGCTGCCGCGAACTCGGAGAAGCGACGAGTCAGAGCGATAGGCGGGGAAGCAAACTTATGGCCCGCCGGCTTGAACCGCTCTGGTGGGGGACCATCGGGGTATTCTATCGTCAAGCCACCATCATCGTCATCCTCATCTTCGTCCTCGGAATCAGCAGGTGATGGCTTGCGGCGCTTGGTTGTGTGTCCTTCTGCCTCTGCACGCGGCGGCGAGGCAGGCTTGGAGGTTCCGGGGTTTTGCTTGTTCTGGGCTGCCTTTCCTCTTCCCCTACCAGCAGGCGCGTTCTTGGTGGGCGCTTCCTTGTTCTTGGATGCAGCTGTTGATGCCTTTCCCTTGGGGGCCGGCTTGTCGAGGACAGTACCCTTGACATCCAAGGGAGGGTATTGCTTCGCGGCATTGGTGTCGGTCGGCGTTTTGGTGATGTTCATGTTGAACATTGAATTCACCTGGTGGAGAACGAAAGCCTTGCGGTCTGGATCGAAAACGAGTACATACTGACTGTCTGCTGCAGTGCGGACGCCGTTGTATTGATACTTGTCTCCGTTATCATCGAAGCCGAGGTTGTACGAGCCATCCTTAGCGGACCGCTTAAGCCTTGCTTGGCTCGGGGCAATGTCGGACGAGAGCGCCGGTTTGTGGTTGTCTGTATAGCTAGGGTCAGTGATGGGTTTATAACAGCTGGCAAGAAAGGAAGTGAAAACTTACAGCGAATGCCGCTGACTGTTTCTTTGGACGCTTTGCCTAGCAAGGCATCACTGATGATAATGGGGTAATCCCCATGTTTCAGTGGCTCCATGTCGGCGTCTGATGTGGCCAAGAGTGCCGACAATGGATTGCCGCGGGTGAGTTTCACCTCTCCGATGGGCGCTATGATCGTCGGGGTGAGCGAAGGGCTGATCAAAGATCTCGCAGCGAGATCTCTAACGTCTTCGGCTTCTCTGGCTATTCTCGCAGCCTCTGCTCTTTTGGCCTTTTCAGCCTGGAGTTTGACTTGTGCTTGTCTTTTTGCTGTAACGTCGCGTTTCGCCTGACTGATGATCTTTTTCACCTGGGAGCCTTTTTGGCGACGGGCGGGAGCGGGTTTCGTGGGCTTTTCGATGCTTTGAAGCACGGTATCGCTGAAAAGAGAGTCGTGGTCTGAGTCGTCGGGGCTGTGTTCGGTTTTGACTTGTTCGTTGACAGGCTTGGGCGGCTGCTTGGGTTGGGCCTTGGTGGACGGAGCAGCGGCACGAGAGGACGATGGTGCTGTGGAATTTTTGGCAGTACTGGCAATGCGCTTCTTGGGCGGGAAAGGGTTTGCGGCCTTCTTGGTCTGTTGCTTGCGGGCAGCTGGTTGAGAAGTGGACGGGGTAGTAGTACCGGTAGGGGAGGGGCGGTCGGAGGGACTGATCGCGGGTTGGTCAGTTAGACTGGGAAGCGTGAAAGGCTAGCAGACACAATGAAGGGAGGAACAAGCGACGAGGCAAACGAAAAGAGTCGGCAAAGAAGCGAGGCGTAAATGGCACGATGCAAGGTGGAAGGCCGAGAACAATGGAGGAGGGACGGGAATGGTGAATGGTGAATGGATGGAGTTGGATGATGTGAAAGCAGGGAGGTGACGGAAGGCTGCGGGAGTTGAATGGATTCCCAGGTTGTGAGAGAGACGGGGCCTGCCCAAGCGGCGATCATCGGACAGTGGAGTGGCCCCCTGCCCTGTCTCACAGCTTCCATCACAGCCTATCACAGCGGCTGGAGGCCTGGAAAGTGCATAGGGTTCAGCGGGCTCAGCAAGTGACAATTGAACGAACTTACCCCGGGTTTGGGTCCGGCTTGGCGAGAGGATCCGCACAGGCACTGGTGGTGCGTGGGGTGCGCGTGGGGCCGGAGCCCGCCCTGGGGGCCTGTGTGGGGGATCCGCCGTTGTTCCTGGAAGAAGCAACGGCTTGCTTGTTGGGGCTTTTTAGGCTAGACCCTGCCCCTGCAGCAGCACCACGACTTTGGAGAGAACTTGTCGATGTTGCCTTTGCCATTTCGTAGGTAGTACGGGAAGCTGAACCGGGCATGGGCACACGCGGAAGACGGGATCTGTTTTCCATTGGAGCTTGAGGAGGAGGAGCCTCTACGACCTTGTCCACCAGAGGACGAAACCTCGGGGCCTTGTCGATTTCGTCGAGTAGGTCGGTGATCGGCATCTTGTCTCGGATAGAAAATGGTGACTAGCTAGTAATAGTAGAGTTAGTTTGGGTGGAATCTAGTCAAGGTGATGGATGCTTGGTGGTGCCGGAAAGTTGAAGAGAAATTCGGGCTTTTTTCCGACTATGTGTTGCTTGGGTTTCGGAAGAAGGATGGAAAAGAACAGAGCCACTTCGATTCAGGATTTAATGGAAGACTGTCTGGTGGGAATCAGTCTTCTAATCACCCCTCCGAGTGAATGTGATATGCGGCCCGTCAATGACTGAACCTTGGACTTTTGGTGTTGTCCGAATTTGTTAGTGTTTCCAGCGTTTGACCCGCAACATTCTAACAGACCTGGGACACTACGATTTCATCCGAACTTGCTGCACGTAAAGAAGCTACTTGTCTTTTTTTTTTTTTTTTTTTTTTCATTGACCCAAACATTCCTTCTCGTGCATACGTAGAGGTATCCGTGGGTGAATTATGCAGCATCTGGTGCTTGATTCCTGCTTTTACAGAAGCACTCTATCTATCCCACTGATCCTTATCCACCGCGCTTCTTCCCATCTATCGCGGGGCACGCACAATGGTGCGACATCAAGAGAGCACAGACAATCTGTACCTAGTTAGGGCTGACGAATGCAGACGTCAACATTTTTGAGTCAGTCTTGTTGTACTTTCAATATGGACAGGACACGAGCGGTTAAGGTCCCCATTCACTGCCTATTAAAATGGCAATGCTGAGGCCAGTTGCCATCAGACCAGTTGACAATCGATCCTACTTTGCTTGCCTGCCCTGGCCAAGTGGCCGGCATATTAGGAAGTATTACACACCTTGCTTTCCTGCCCGGAGGGAATTTCTCCCGTGTCCCGAATGGAAGGCACGGGAGTTCTCTTTTTTGACCTCGTACGAACTCGGTACTAACCCTCTCAGAAGCGGAAGCTACGTCCTGGACGAACACCTGGATCGTGCCTCCTGGAATTACTCGACGATGACATGATGCGAAGGAACCATGCTGGATGTTCTGAGCTGGCTGCTCTGTGGTCTACCACAAGCCCATCCGGGCAAAGCCCACATCGCCCTCGGTTGTCTGGTCTCTTCACATCTCCTGGCCTCTCCACGTCTTGCTGCTGAAGAGTTCATTCCACGCCTTGGTATTGTTCTTTTCTTTTGGAACTTTTTGGAATCTTTGAACTTGGATCTTGTTCTTCACCATTACCTACTGAATTGGATATAGCCGTCCTATCATGAGAGTCCATGGGATCAAAGCCAGTTCCTTATGGGCCCGGTTGATAGCCTCGTTGTTGATCACAGCCAGCATGGCCGCGGGTTACGATCTGGATTTGAGCTCAATAGGTCATTTCCGCCCCCTGTCCTGTCTGCGCTACTGCTGCTAACATTCCCTATTCAAGACTCGCTCAAGCATGCCGCTAGCTTCATGGCCCAAGACATGATGTCGTTCTACTCCGGTGATAAACCCGGAGGTATACCCGGCCTGTTACCTCAGCCATACTACTGTCAGTAAAATGTGAAATGAGCCGACTCCTAAAGTCATTCACTAACCTAGTGTCATCATCTCTAGGGTGGGAGGCAGGCGCTCTGATGGGCTCGCTAATTGACTACTGGTACTACACCGGCGATACACAATGGAATGACCTCATCCAGCAGGGACTGCTCTTCCAGGCTGGCCCGAACAGCGACTACATGCCGCCCAACCAGACCATGACAGAAGGTAACGATGACCAAGGGTTTTGGGGATGACGGTCATGTCAGCAGCCGAGTACAAATTCCAGGATCCACCGAGCGACAAGCCGCAATGGCTGGCTCTGGCACAGGCCGTCTTCAACACGCAAGCTGCTCGATGGGACACCCAGGAGTGCGGTGGAGGGCTCCGCTGGCAGGTCTTCACTTGGAACCAGGGCTACGACTACAAGAACTCCATCTCCCAGGCATGCTTCTTCAACATCGCCGCTCGCTTGGCTCGGTACACAGGCAACCAGTCATACGCAGATTGGGCGGACAAAACGTGGGATTGGATGGTCTCATCCAAGTTCATGGATACGCAGACTTATTACATTTACGATGGCGCGCACACACGAAACTGCTCGGAAATCACTCCTTACCAATGGACGTATAACAGCGGTGCCTTCCTCCTAGGCGCCGCAGCCATGTACAACTATACCACCGGCAGCACTCAAGAGGTCTGGCGGAGCCGGGTTGATGGTCTTATCAGCGGCCTTGGTGTCTTCTTTACAGGTCCGCAACGGAACATCATGACAGAAGTCGCCTGTGAGCCCGTCAACCTTTGCGATCTCGACCAACAGAGCTTCAAAGCCTATCTCTCACGTGCCATGGCTGCCACAACAAAGTGGGCTCCCTGGACATATTTCCGCATCAAGCCTCTGCTTGAATCCACCGCCATCGCTGCCACATCTACGTGTGTTGGCGGCACCAATGGTCGCATGTGCGGCCTCAAGTGGACGGAACATGGCAAGTGGGACGGCACAACGGGAGTCGGTCAACAGATGGCCGCAATGGAAATTGTTCTAGCCAATATGATCCAGCGAGTCGCCGCTCCTGTTACTAACCATACGGGCGGCACGAGCATGGGCGACCCCGGAGCCGGCGGCGGTGATGTTGGTAGGACGGATCCATTTAGCAATGGGCCGCCTATTAGCACTGCCGATCGAGTCGGTGCATGGATTATCACGGCTGTCATGATCTTGGGACTGGTCAGCGGATGTATCATGATGGTTCTGGACGAGAAGAGTAACCTGACTACCTGGCAACGGCTTTCGACTCTCCGTCCGGACGTCCTCTACGCATGTAGCAAGCACTGGCGGTCCGGACATGGGAAGAACGGCTGCGGCGGTCATGGAGTCAACGGCCATTACGACTGTAACCGAGCACGCTTCGACATCGATGACACATGCGCTTTTCAGAGCGAATACTACGATGGTGGCTACGGCCACATTGCTGATGTGAAGGAGAAAGACACTGTGATCGAAATACATCACGAGTATGCTGACAACAGACACAGCTGGCACGGAGTTCCTCCACCGCCACCAACTTCTCAACCTTCAGCTCGCCATTCATCTTCGACAACCTGTGTCGCAAGCAGAAATGGAAGTAAAGGAAGCGGCATTGGGGACGATAGGATGCCCCCGGCCAATAAGAACATCATCTCCAACCGTCTGAACCATCTAAACCACCGCCGCAGTGTGCTTCAGAAACTGCAAGACCAGCAGCAGCAGAACAGAAGGCAGGCGCATGTGCAAGTCCCGCATACCCCTCTCCACCTTCATCACCATAATCACCGCTTCCACGGCGACATCGGGCAAACCCCTTACAGTGCCAGCAGCCGTTGCCACAACCATCCCAGCACTCAGCCTTCGTATTACTGGGACCTAGACAACACCAACGGCATCGATCCCGCGCGGCACGTGTCGCAGATCTCGGGGATGTCTGCGCTTCCTGGTGGTGTGTCGTCCTTGGTACCCGATGGCGCAACAGGTTTTACACCCAATCCCAAGCTTCAACTTGACCAGACCAGACCTAGGGTGGAGGAAGAAGCAGCGGGACATAGAGTCAAGGTGCAATTTCCAACTAGATCGACCGCCGGGAATGAAAATGGCAATGTCGCTATCGGTGACAGGATCAATCACTGGAGGGAAGCGGATAAGGAGAGAAGGGAGGCGAGGAATAATAGGAGTGGTGGGAATCGGTTTGCATGGGAGAGTAGTGAGAGTGTGTATTGGAAAAGTTAATCGAAGTGTCCGGCGAAGGTGACGGGAGACTATAGCCGGGTTTTGGTAATGTTTGGTGGGCAAGAGCTATTGGTATGTCATGGCATCGCTACGTCCAAGGTTAGGTATTTCCAGTGATATTGGTTTTGTTTGGAGAGTGGTCTTTGAGACGATGAACAAGTCAGTACCCTATCTCCTTTACATCGCTTTTTACTTTATGGCTGTTCATATATTAAGTATAACCTCGCATCTTCATTCCGCTTTTACCTACTTTGTCGCAGGAGGTGGTCAATGGCGAAGCCGGGCGCATGAGTTACAGCCAATGCGGCCTTGAAAAATAACACATACAATGTTAGGCATCTAATTGCTGTGCTTATTTCGCAAATCAAGCAATTACAATCAACAAAGGGGGCTTCTTCAGGCTGATGTTCAAATCTCAGTCAGCACCCACCGTAAGATCTGACCGATTCGACGACGGCCAAACCGTTATCACCCTCCCCTTTTCCAGGACGTACCAAGTCTTTCCTATTCAGGAAGTTTATTTACTTTGCTACCGCTCTCGCCAAAACCCGGATTTGCTCTCCGCAGTCCGCGATTGCATCTCGCATCGCATGTGCCTTTTTAGCCGATCTACCGCCGATTCTCCATGATAAATGCTACCTTCTTAGCACGAAGATGGCCCATCAGTTTGAAAGTAAGAAAGCTTCTTAGTCTACACTCGATGCGCAAATGCAGTGGGTGATCGTCATCACTGATTTACTATACAATCCAGTACTGGTTTGTTTGTTAGCTCGAGACCTCCGGCCATTCTTCCTAGGCGTTTACATGCTTAATCGATCCGTTTCGTTCTATATTAAATGCGTAATGTTATATCGTATATACCCTCTTAACTCTTATCAATGCTTTTTTAAATGCTACTTAACCATTAAATACCGTCTTTATAAGGTTTAAGACACTTTAAGATAGATCTTGTCTTGTATAGTAGATGCATCAAGCTAACAAATCAACTAGCATTGTATTATATATTACTTGGTAATGTTTTGTTGATCTCTGCTAATTAACGACGCTGATATTGATATTGTAAGATGCTACGTTTGTGTGATGTTACGAACTTAAGTAAGTATATGGATCAATTAGGCTGTCGGGATGTGGCAGCCCC